GTGATCCTGTGAAGACTCTCCCTACCAGCCCTCCTGGGAAGCCTGTAACAGCTACTGTAGATTCATCAGCCATCACGCTCACCTGGGAGAGTCCAACTGTGGTTGGAGAAGGAGTCATTATAAGTGAGTATAAGGTGGAATATAAAGAGGAGTCCAGAGATATGAGTCATGAAGGGAAAGACGAATGGATAGACCAAAGAACAGAAGAGAAAACCGAGTTCTGTAACGTTTATGCGCTGAGGCCTGAGACGCCCTACAGATTCCGAGTGTCGGCTGTGTGTGCGGACGGAGCTGTGAGTGACCCAAGTGAGGAGATTTCCATTTCAACAGTGAAGGTAGGAGAAACATAAATAAATCTAAAGTCTCCCCCTAAACTTTCCTTTCCATTAGACAAATGAGCATTAGCGAGTAGTCTCCATTAGACACAGATGGGATCTTTCTCAATGACTCTGATCCCCAGGGCACTTTGGGAAGACAGAGTCCACAGATAATGACTATTGTAGTAAAACTCATCTGTGGGAGTAGTCTGAAATATCGTGGGCGCATAATGTAGGATATGACTTTATTCAAACTGGGTCTGGAGATAACCGATAAAACCAAGATAGAGTCGGGCACCTGCAGTGACTGGATGACGCCGGGAACACGTAAGTGTCTATGGTTATTTCACCTCTGGGTCACCTGTCCAGACCTGTCTCATTTTAGAGCCTCATGTCTGTTCCAGGGGCAGACTGGCCTGGGATGACAATGGTCCTGGCTTATCTGCCCCTGTGACGAAGTGGGAATGTTCTTAATCTTTTCTCTGAATACTGTGTGCGTGCCTCAGTTTCCCCTATATATTGCTTCAGTATTAGAGATCCCTAGAGGGTAAGTATGAGTACCATCTGCACAGAGAATGACAGACACTCTGTAACCTAGCAACCCCTGCAAGGTATTGGGAACAAAGAGATCAGGTTTTGCCCAAGAAAGAGACAAAGGATAGGAGGGGCTATCAGGTGAGGGGCTGTTCAGGGGGTCTGAAGCCAGGCAGTTGGAAGAGGTCAGTCTCCTGTTTGGGGACTCAGAAGAGGGAGTCCAGGGCACCAGGCTCTGGATCATCTCAAGATGGACTTTGCTGAAAGTTCCTGATTTCTGTGCTAGCAAGCTCTGTTCTACACTGTGTCCTGTCGACTAATAAACCTTCTGTTTTACACGCTGGCTGAGAGTGACGGCTGACTGCAAAGTTGGGTGCCTGGCCCTTTGGGGGCATATAAGGCTTCCCCAGGTGTCCCATCCAGGTAGAATCACTGCAGGGAGATCATGGGGTGAACAGGGGAGCTGAATGCTCCGAGGTCAGACCCAGGAAGCACTGAACCCGAAGACGTTTCTTGCCATGGTGTAAGGGTGCCCAGAGAAGGGAGTCACGCTGCCCCAGAGTCCTGACTGGCATCTCTCAGAGCCGTTCCAGAGCACCTAGACTGTAACTCTTGTAACAGCCCCCCAGATGTCCTGCCTACGTTTATAGGTGCTTGTCCCCTCCATGAGCCCGCGGCTTGCCACGCTGGGGAGTGGAGCCATTTGCCCACCCCTGCATTAGGGTGTGCCTGGGCACACCTGGCACATCCCGTGCGCACGCCTATGCAAGGAGTCTGGTGGCACCTTAAAGACTAACAGATTTATTTGGGCATAAGTTTTCGTGGGTAATAACCTCACTTCTTCAGATGCATGGAGTGAAAGTTACAGATGCAGGTAGAGTAGGTGTGTGTGTGCAAATATGATTTGTTCCTGGGGTCTTTTTCCCCAGCTCACCACTAGATGTCAGAGGTGAGCTCATTCAGACCCTGCTTTCAGAAGTTTGGGGAACATGACATCATGCACAGGGTTTATGACATTTTCAGTGTGATGGCAGTTACCTCAGTCGTACTTAGTTATCTCAGGTGTAATTAACAGCAGTCAGTGCATCCACACACAGTATTCAGAATCTTTAATGAGTTTGCTGTTGAGTCCTGCATCTACCCTTAGCACTGCATTCAGTTGTGTTAACCACTTTTAGGCAAGCACCCCAGATTTCCTGGCACATCTCTCTGGGGACCCTCATGAGTGCCCAAATTGTGGGGGGAGAGACAAACTCTTGCAACTCCAACAATTCCCCAGGGAAATGTCCATTCCTGATTGCAGCTGTATAGCAGCTCTGATTGGCTGTCCCTCCTCATTCACCTGCCTTGTGGGGAAGGACAGCCAATCAGAGGAATCTTTCGTTAGGCCAGCGGTTCTCAAACTTTAGCAACCTGAGGACGTCCATTTTAATTTAAAATTTTTCATGGACTCCCCAAGCCTACTGATGTGTATTTACATTTGAAGAAAAATAATTCTGTGTTCATGAAAAGCTCTATTATAAATTTTTTATTTATAAACTATTGTATCATTAACACTATTATTTATTTCATTATTATTTATTATTAGACAGAGACACATAAATATGTCTGTGTAAGGAACTATTCCTTATTTTTATTATCATTAAATCTAAACAGCTAGAAAATTTCATTTAAAAAAACAAGCTTACAAAACATTAATGTGAAGGATAATGTTGTTTTGCCAAAACAAGATCACAAATGTTTGGCTCAATGGTGGTGTCAAGGCTGCTTCCCACTTTGAACTTTAGGGTACAAATGTGGGGGCCTGCATGAAAACTTCTAAGCTTAACTACCAGCTTAGATCTGGTTGGCTGCCACCATCCCAAGGCTAATTCCCTTCCCTGGGTAGCCTTGAGAGACCTTCACCAATTCCCTGGTGAATACAGATCCAAACCCCTTGGATCTTAAAACAAGGAGAAATTAACCATCCCCCC